AGTGTCACTTCTCACAAGTACTTGATCTATTGGTGGTGCTATTTTGTGTATTAATGTTGCCACCTCACACCATGGATTAGCAGGGCCCTCTTTACTGACAGAGGCAGGGTCACTAGTGTCTTTATCATTAATCAAATTGGAGAACCAATTTAGGAAGCCCATCCTTATGATTTTGTCTCTCTAGAACCACTCTCGGTACCAAATGTGTTAGACTGGGTTCTCTAGAGAAACAAAACCAGTAAAGTTTATATATATGTATATATGGAGACATTTATATTAGGAAAATGGCTCACACACTTACAGAAGCTGGCAAGTCAAAAGTTCCTGGATCAAACGTCAAGCTGGAGGCTTTTCCACGTCAAGCTGTAGGCTTTTCCTGACTCTTGCCGTTGCAGGGGCTGAGTAGCTCAAGGCTGGCAGGCAGTACACCAGCTGTTGACTCCAACGAATGACAAATCCAAGATCTCCAGGCCGAATGGTGGATTGTTCACTCATGGAAAGTTGTAGGCAGCACAACAGAATCCCGATCCACAGAAGAATGTCTCCTCTCCCAGAATGTCCACAGATATACTGGAAACAGGCCACACCCCTAGGGAAACTCCCCTTCAATGGATTGGCCACTCAAAACATAATCATCTGATTCCATCATGGGAACAATCACACCACAACAGCTCAAACCACACAGAATTGTGGTCCAGCCAAGTTGACACACAGCTCCAACTATCACAGCTCTGGAGTGCAAAAATAACTAAGACACATACTGCCCTGCATGACTTTTGGTAAATTATGGGAAATGGACACGTGGCAAATAATGTCAATGTTGCTGTTGTTGTTAGGTGCCGTCAAGTTGTCTCCAACTCATAGCGACCCTATGCACAGCAGAATGAAACATTGCCCGATCCTGTGCCAGTTCCACAATCCTTGCTTTGCTTAAGCCATTGCCACAGCCAGTGTGTCAATCCATCTGGTTGAGGGCCTTCCCCTCTTTCATCGACCCTCCACCTTACCAAACATGACATCCTTCTTCAGGGAATGGTCCCTTCTGACAACATGACCAAAGTAGGTGAGATGAAATCTGGCCATTCTTGCTTCCAAGGAGCATTCTGGTTGCACTTCCTCCAGGACAGATTTGTTAGATCTTTTAGCAGTCCATGGTACTTTCAACATTCTTCTCCAGCACCACAACTCAAAAGCATCAGCTCTTCTTCGATCTTCCTTATCCATGTCCAGCTCTCACGTGCATATGAGGCAATTGAAAATATCATGGTTTGGGTCAGGCGCACCTTAGTCCTCAAGGAGACATCTTTGCTTTTCAACACTTGAAAGAGGTCCTTTGCAGCCAATTTGCCCAGTGCTATATGTCATCTCATGTCCTGACTGCTGCTTCCATTGGTGTCGATTGTAGAACCAAGCAATGTGAAGTCTCTGACAACTTCAATCTTTTCTCCATTTATCATGATGCTGCTTATAGGTCCAGTTGTGAGGATTTTTGTTTCCTTTATATTGAAATGTAATCCTTACTGAAGACTGTATTCTTCAATCTTCATTAGTAAGTGTCTCAAGTCATCCTCACTTTCAGCAAGCAAAGTTGTGTCGTCAGCATATTGCAGGTTGTGAATGATTCTTCCTCCAATCTTGATGCTACATTTTTCTTCATATAGGCCAGCTTCTCAGATTATCTGCTCAGCATACAGATTGAACAAGTATGGTGAAAGGATACAATCTGGACGCACTCCCTTCTTGATTTTAAATCATGCAGTGTCCCCTTGTTCTGTATGAATGACAGCCTCCTGGTCTATGTACAAGTTCCTCATGAGTACAATCAAGTGTTCTGGAATTCACATTGAGTGCCTACAGTGCTGCATATGTTTGCTGAAACATCTTGATGGGTATTCTGTCAGTTCCTGAAGTCTTGTTTGTTGCCTGTGCCTTCAGTGCAGCATGGACTTTTTCCTTCAATACTTTTGGTTCTTGATCATATGCTGCCTCCAAAAATGGTTGAATGTCAACCAATCTTTTTGGCACACTAACTTTTATTATTCCTTTTAGGTTCTTTTGATGCTTTCTGCATCATTCAGTATTTTGCCCATACAATCTTTCAATATTGCAACTTGAGGCTTGAATTTTTTCTTTAGTTCTTTCAGCTTGAGAAATGCCAAATGTGTTCTTCTCTTTTGATTTTTTAAATCAGGTCTTAGTGTAATTGATTATAGTACTTTACTTTGTCTTCTCAAGCTGTTCTTTTTGAAATTTTCTGTTGCTGTTTTGCTTCATCATTTCTTCCACTCATTGTAGCTACTCTGTATTCAATAACAAGTTTCAGAGCCTCTTCTAGTATCCATTTTGTTTTCTTCCAGTCTTTTTAATGACTGAACTCCGCAACTCGTCTGGTCTTCAGTCATTGGTACTTAATATGCCAAATCTATTCCTCAATAGTCTTTAAATTCACAAGGGATATACTCAAGGTCTCACCCAAGCAATAATAACAAAGTTCAACAAGACAGAAAACAACAAATACTGACAAGGCTGTGGGGACACTGGAACTCTCATACAAAGCTGATGGGACTGTAAAATGGTGGAACTGGTATGGAAAATGGTATGTTGTTGTTGTTGTTATGTGCTGTCGAGTTGGACCCAACTCATAGTGACCCTCCTTGGGTTTCTGAGGCAGTATCACTACAAAAGTAGATTGCCCCATCTTCCTTCCGAGGAGTGGCTGGTGGGTTTGAACCTCCAGCCTTCTGGTTAGCAGTCAAGTGCCTTAGGCACTACGCTACCAGAAAATGGTATAGTGCTTCCTTATAAAGTTGGAAAAAAATACCATCTGATCCAACAGCCCCACTACTAGGTGTATGTACTAAAGAACTGGGAGCTGAGACATGAATAGATATATGCACACCCATGTCTATTGCAGCACTATTCACAATAACAAAGAGATGGAAACACCCTAAGTGTCTATCAATGGATGAATGGACAAACAAGCATTGTGTGTGTATACACACAATGGAATACTACGTAACATTAAAGAATAATGAAGACTCTGTGAAACACCTAATAACATGCATGAACCTGGAGGACATTATGCTGAGTGAAATAAATCAATCACAGAAAGACAAATACTGGGTGAGTCCACCATTATAAAAAGTAAAGAAAAGGTTTACCCATGCAAAGAAACATTCTTTGATAGTTACCAAAGATGGAAGTGGTGAGGAGGGAAAATTATTAGCTAGGTAGGAGACATGTACTAATTTGGGTGAACAAACAAACAAAAAAACTGCCATCGAGTCGATTCCGACTCATAGTGACCCCTCCTTGTGTTTCTGAGGCAGTATCTCTACAGAAGTAGATTCCCAACCTTCCTTCCAAGGAGTGGCTAGTGGGTTTGAACCACCAACCTTCTGGATAACAGCCAAATGTCTTAAGCACTACATCACCAGAGCTCCTAATTTGGGTGAAGGGAAAGGCAATATATACATAAAGGGAATTACCAGCACAATATCACTAAGGAAAAAGAAGACATGGAGAGGTGCACAAGATTTACAGACAACAAAAGTAAATACTGTTACATACACAATCCTGCATTATCAGTAATAAAAAGTATTGATCTATGAGTGGATACATAGGTAGATAAGATGAACAGGTATGTGTAGGCAGACAGGACCATACCCACAAGCATACATATGTTTGGCAAACAATATTTTTACATACATATTTGTATGTGCTGTAAAATTACCCATGTATGTATTAGAACTAATGAGAGAAAAGTCATGAAAACTTCTTAACCAAAATCAAACACCTTGAGGGAACAAATCACTGGGCCTGGGATCTCAGGACCATGGTTGTGGGGGACACCAAGGTCAATTGACATAACAGTCCAGAAAGACAATGTTCTACATCATACATTGGTGAGTAGTAACTGGGTCTTAAAAACTTGCGAGTAGCCATCTAAGGCACAATTATTTGTGTCTCCTTGTTCGGCGCAAGGAAGAGTGAAGAAAATTAAAGATGCATGGAAACAATTAGTCCAAGGGACTACTGGGACATGTGAACTTCCACTTCCACAGCCCTGAGACCAGAAGAACTATATGGCTACCATGGCCAACTGCTCTGAAAAGGATCATAAGAGGAGGTGTTGGATAGAGTGGGAGAAAAATGTGGAACAAAATTGTAAATAATAAAAAAGATCAGGCATACTAGTCTGATAGAGACTGGTAGAACTCATGAGACTATGACCCTTAGTCACCCTTCAAGCCTAGAACTGAATTCCCACCCATAGCTCAACTTGCAGCCAAACAATAGACAGGCCTATTAGATGAACAATAACACCAGGGATGTATGCACTCCTTAGAACAATCAACCATAAGATATCAAAAGAGCAGGTTTTGCCCAGAGTTAAAGCTCAGAAGGCAAGAATAGATAGGAAAGAAAGGCAAATGGAAATGACAATCACAGGGAGGAAGTGGGGAAAGTACTATGACATTGTGGGGACAGCATCCAATGTCATGTGTATGAAACAAAACGCGTATGAATAGTTGATTGGAAAACCAATTTGCTATGTAAACTTTCAGTCAAATCACAATAAAAAGTTAAAAAGTAAAAGTATACATACAGTAGAACATTTCCAAATATATAAAGACACAATACTACATATTGCTTAGGAATAATGTATGAAGAAGTATAAAAAGCAATAAGAGAATATCCACCAATTCAGGGTAGTGACTCCTTCTTGGGTTAAGAGGGGGAAGGAATAGAGGCGAAGTTTCTCTGTAACTAATTTCTTTGAAGAAAGTGAAGCTATCTCATGTAAATAGGGAAAACTATGTTAAAAACTGTTAAATTTGTTTGATGAATATATGAGTACTTGTTTTATTGTTTTCTGAACATGTATATACTATGTATATAAATGGCTCTAATAAGGATATTCTTTTATAATTCAAAATGTTAAATTTGTTCTGTATTTTCCACTTGAAATGGCTAACAAAGAAAACCAAAATACTTACGGAATTTAATAAATGGTTTCTGTTCTTTATGTTCAGCTTCATCAGACCTTTCGTCTTTTAAGTATGGTTTTGGTTTTTGCTCTGGGCCATTAGTATCTTGTTGATTCACCTGTTTTTCAAGGGACCAAGTTGATTCAGGCTTCTGGACTCTCTTCTGCTGGTTCCCATAATTAGGGTGAAAATAAATAAATAACAGAGCAGTCCAGATCCAAAGTATAATGGACGCATAGGATAAATATTGAATTATGTTATTTTTCATCGTAAACCTAGCTTTTTTGGAGGTTCATTTTTCAATTTCCTAAATCAGAAGGATATAAGAGACATTATGTTAGATATTTCAATGTAGGTCATCTACTTGGCCTGAATTCAATTTTGTGTTTTAAAAACAGAATCATTTTGATATTAGTCCTTATTCTATATGCAGATAACATAAAATACATGATTATCTATTAATTAGCAAAAAATTTAAAAGTGATATTCATAAGATTACTCAGCATCAAAATGTGTAACATGCTTATAAATCATACAGTGGCGTGTACAGTCATTGGTCCACACTCTGAGTATACAGCTAAGTATATAGCTTATCCCTGACTTATGCCCAATCCATCTTGTAGTGACAGCACAGATCTCTATTTTAAAATTTAATCTGATCACTAACCATTGTTGTTGTTGTTATTTGCCGTCGAGTCGGCCCCGACTCATAGTGACCACTCCTTGGGTTTCCGAGGCAGTATCACTATGGAAGTAGGATTGCCCAACCTTCCTTCCGAGGAGTGGCTGGTGGGTTTGAACCACCAGCCTTCTGGTTAGCAGTCAAGTGCCTTAGGCACTATGCTACCAGAGCTCCTGATCACTAACTAGAGAGTAACAAATATTAAACTTGGGTGAAAGGAAAGGCAACATGCAATAAGGGGAAGGCCAGCAAAACATGACCAAGGGAAAGGAAGTCACTGGGAGTTGGATGAAAGTAAAAGACAATAAAGGTACATACTATTACATACACAATCCTGCAATCATGACAATACTCTCACTCCCTGCCGTTGAGTTGGATCTGACTCATAGCGACCCTTCCTTGGATTTCCGAGGTGGTATCACTATGGAAGTAGATTGCCCAGTGTTCCTTCCTTGGAATAGCTAGTGTGTTTGAACTGCCAGCCTTCTGGTTAGCAGTCAAAAGCCTTAGGCACTACACTACCGGAGCTCCCAATAATGATAACAGCAAACAATAATCTATGAGTTGATACATAGGTAGATATGCAGGGTGAACAGGTATGGAAAGCAAATGGGAGCATACACACAAGTATATATGGATATGACAGAGGATATTTCTCCATATGTATTATGAAAAAAAATGTATCAAAGATAAAGAAGATAACTTCTAATTAGAGAAAATGGGTGGATTAAAATAAACGAAGAGAATGAAGCTGCTTTAACTCATATCAGCATTGTATCTTTCTGTTAAGTGTCTACATTTTGAGAGATTTGTTTTACCTTTCTTTGAGACCAAAAACAATTAGAAACCAGTCAAGGGGAAAAATAGATTCAAGAAGGCAATAACAAACCAAATATACACAAACCCACTGCTATAGAATCAATTCCAACTCATAGCGACCCCTATAGTGTTTCCTAGGTTGTAAATCTTTATGGAAGCAGACTGCCTGGTCTTTCTCTTGGGAAGCGCCTGGCGGGTAACAACAGCTGATCTTTTTGTTAGCAGACCAATGCCTTAACCACAAAGCCACCAGAGCTTCTTAAAATATACTCATGTATTTATAAAAGAATTATTAGTGAAAAATAAACTCTATATTCACTAGAACAATTCCACTATATGAAGAAAACTTTGGGGAAATTTTGAACACATATGGGCACTTTTCTTATTTTATTAATAACTTTTCTTGTATTACATTTCTTAAAGAAGAGCTCACACTAATTCTTTGGTATATGTGCCACATACCCCCCCCCCCCCCCCCCCCCCCACACACAGTTCTCATCCCAGCCCCACTCACACTCCCCAAAGCTTAGGAACACTTCTCCTACCAAAAGACAGATGTAGGAGGTCTGTGATGGGTTTTTCAACTCTTTTTCTTCAGAAGGATATCACGTGTAGTTATTTTTCAGTCAAATATACTGAATTCACATGCTAGAAACATAATACAGAATTAACTTATAAAGCATATTTCAATGATTTGTAACTATAGTCAATATAATTTTAAGTGCATTCAGGAAACCTTAGAATTAATTAAAAGAATCTTGTTAAGAAGAAAAGAATACAGCTGATAACTACAACCCCTCAAAAAAAAAAAAAAAAAAAACATAATCTGGGTTTAATCATCTGGTTTGTTTTAAAATGTTTAGAATAGGGAAAATATGACTACACTTTAGATAATATCACAAATAATTTTTCTGTAAAAACTTAGTATTTTTTAACTTTTAATTTTTCCCAAGACAATGTTAATACTGATTTTATTATAATATCTATTACTTACTAATTTTTTGAATAAGTAATATTCACTTAGTATAAATTTCAAGAGGCACAAAGGGATATATCATGAAAGTTGGTCCTGTTTTTCCAGTACTAAGGTCATTACACTGGCAGTTCAAACCCGCCAGCTACTCCTTGGAAGGAAGATGGGGCAATCTACTTCCTTAGTGGTATTGCCTCAGAAACCCAAGGAGGAGTCATTATGAGTCAGGTCCAACTCGATGGCACATAACAACAAGGTCATTACAATGCTCAGTCCCTCTATAGGATGGTATAAGCCTGGAGACTTTTTACCACTCCCCTTGTGAAAAAAGCAGATGTTTTTAATCCCTCCCCATCTCCATCCCAGAGCCAGCATGGTATCCAAGATTCAGCAATTAAAGTCAGGGTAGAAGGAGATTCCCCAACATCATTGTCCACTTTCTACCCCATGGAGCTTACCCGCCTACCACTGAGATGGCTGCCCTGTAATAAATATGTTTGTTAAGCAGAGTCATAGGGGAGATTAGGCAGAGATTCTGCTAAATGAGTTGGGAGATGTCACTTCTTCTTGAACAATTCACCGTGGGACCTGGACTGAGAGTCAATGCTGACTTTTCTGGCAGCCTGTCCCAGTGTTGGTGCTTAACCCACCTTAGGCTGCTTGCTTCACAAAGCCTAGTGACATCATACAGGGCCTCTGTCCCCAGAAGCCCCCTGCCTGGAAGCTCCAGCCAGCAGTTAAATGACGGACTTCTCAAGTTTGGGGGTTTTTGGAGAACATTTTACGATAAAATCATCACCCTTCAGCTGAAGAAATAGGGAAAGCTTCTTATTAGGCAAGATCAGAATCCAGATGACTCTCTACTCTGGACTTAAAAAAAGTATATAGATTCTTTTAAAGTAAACTGAAAACTAAAACAGGAAACAAAAACAAAAGCAAGCTTTCAGAACAGCTCAATGGCCTTAAAGATGAGCCAGAGTTATTTAGCTACTTTTTCATATTTTACTCTATGATTTGGTTTCAACATTTAGATATCAGAAGGAAGATGGGGCAATCTACTTCCGTAGTGATACTGCCTTGGAAACCCAAGGAGGGGTCACTATGAGTCGGGTCCGACTTGACGGCACATTACAACAACAACACACTGGTTCAGCCCAAAGCTTGTGAAATTTCTTCTATATTTATATTGTCCAAGCAGATCTGAACCGCCTCCCTTAAGGAGTCTGACTCAGTGTTTTTCTGCAATGAGATCTATGCTTCAAAGTATGTGAATGGCAGGGGTGGGTTGATAAACCCTCCAGTAGCAGGTGTAATGGGTAGTAATAACCGCTAAGCCTAACTCTCAAGCTTCTTTTAGACAAACTCAATGAGACAGTCCTTCCTTGCCCTTTATTAGAAAAATTTAAAAGTAAGCTTTTGCTTATAAAAGCCCCCAACTGGAAATAATCCAAATGTCTATGAGCGATAAAATGGATAAATTGTGGCATAGTGATATAGTGGAATGCAAAGTGGCAACAAAAAAGACTAAATTACAACTACACATAACACCATGAGTATGTCTCTCAGACTTGCTGTTGAATGAGAGAAGCCAGACACAAGGATGTATGATTCTATTGCTATGAAGTTCAAGAGGCAAAACTAATCTAGAATGGTCAAGTCAGTTCAAGCTACCTTTGGGGGCAGGTGATAATGACTGAGGGGAGCAGGAAGGAGCCTTGCAGAGTGCTGTCATGGTCTGTATCTTCTGGGTCTGTCCAAGGCTTCATGGAGCCTGTGCTTAAAAAACATCATTGAGCAACTGTTCACTTAACTGTTTTAGTGTACAATAAATGTGTGTGCACTTCGTTGTATGTATGTGATAATAAAATTAAGGAGAAAATATTGAGCACAATTTTTGTATAAAGCTCTATCATGGGAATTTTGAAAGTATTACATGTTCTGTTTGTTGTAATAAAGTAAAATCTTTCTGTAAAAAAGGTGTTTATAGGTCTTATTAAAAATAATAGTTATAATTCATTAATTCATTCATTCATTATTGAGATATAATTCACATATGCCATATAGACTTATTCAAGGACAGTAGTTAGATTCTTCCTTTCTTTTTTCTTTTTTCCTTTTCCCTTCATTCCTTTATTCATCCCCTCCTTCCTTTTCTTCCTTCCTTTCTCTCCCTCTCTTTCTTTTTTGATACGTAATTCACATATCACAAAATTCACCCATTTAAAGTATACAACTCAGTGGTTTTTGTAGATTCATAACGTTATACAACCATCACTACTATTTAATTCCATTAACTCAAAAATGCCATACCCATTAACAGTCACTACACGTGTATTATAGATTGAATTATGTTCCCCAAAATACGTATTGTAAATTCTAATCTCTATGCCTGTGGTTATAATCCCATTTGGGAATGGATTTGTCTTTGTTATGTTAATGAGGCAGAATTAGTGTAGGGTATATCTTAAGTCAATCTCTTTGAGATATAAAAATAGATTAAACAAGTGAGAAGAGAGAAAGAGCGGGGATAAAAAGAATGCCAAGACACATGGCAATCTCCAAGGAACTAAGAAGTAGGAGCTAAAGAGGCAAGGATATTCCTTCAGAGCTGACAGAGAAAGGATTTCACCTAGAGCTAACACTCTACATTCAGACTTCCAGCTCCCCAAACTGAGAAAATAAATTTCCGTTTGTTAAAGCCTCTCGTGGTACTTCTGTTATAGCAGCACTAGATAACTAAGACAGACAGACAACATAGCATACATATTTGCCCCTCTTTCCAGTTCCTGGCAAC